CCCCCCCCCCCCCCCCCCCCGCTTTATGGCACTGAGCAGCTAATATGCCAGGTCAAACACAAGCCACAGCCCCACCAGTGCCCCTCACTTCTGACCCACAGCTCCCTGGCCCTGCTGCTGGTGCCCCAACCCACAGCTCTGCGTTTTCCACACTCCTGAGTTGCTGCCCCAAGCCAGTGTGTGGGGGCATGGAGAAAACAGCAGGGGGGCACTTGCCCCCTCTCCAATTTCTGTGCCTGCAGCAGGGTATGGGGCTGCAGCTGGGCTAGACGAGCTCAGGGTAGAAGCTACCTCTGTGGCCCAGCACAGGAGGGAGCGCTGTGCCACCATGGGCAAAACGCTCCTGTCCACCCAACAGCAGCAAGGGGCCACTGTGCCTCACCCTTTAAAGGAGAAAAATCCACGTTTTTCCATGGCGAACAGAAAAAGGCAGATCCCTACTGTTCACTCTTTGGACCTTGTACTAAGCAATGTGACACCCAGGGGAACCCTACTTGCCTTCTCCTTGGGCCTTGTACTGGTGACATCAGGAGAATGCTATAGCGCTTGTTCCCTCAAACTCCTCTTCCAGGTATGAGTAAGCAAGTTATGAGTCTGTCTAAAGAGGATGGTTCTCACCCTCTTTTTTTGGTTTTCTGCAGGTACCTGAAGAAAATATAAATGGCGTAATCAATGCACTCCAAGTCAGTCAAGCTGGAAAGCATTAGAAATCTTCTGAGCTGGTTCCAGATGCTTTTTCTATTGTAATAATATGATTATTCCTTTTTTCTCACAGTATTCTTGGATAATCTGATTCTGGAGAGGTTGAAGTGAAAAAAAAAAAAAAAGACATGAGCATAAACAGCTCTTTTTAAGAATTGCTGAACTTAGAGCCCTGCTGTTCAGTTCCAAAGCAAAAAAAACCATAACCTTGCTGATGTGAGAGGAACTGCCCGCAGACAGGCAGATTGTGCACGCTGCAGCTTTAGCAAGAGCTTCTCCAGAGGAACTGGGGTGGAAGGGCTGGTTTCTTTGTGGAGAGTGTAAAGAAATAAGGAAATAAAGGAAAAACAAACCCCCCCCAAAAAACCAGAATACAGCAGTCCTCTCTGTCTTTAAAACTATATATCCTTGGAAGTTGTATGAACCAGGCTCCCACAGCTGCAGTGAAGTGTCCAACAACCAAGAGCCCCTTCCCTGCTCCAGGTTTTCTAGAAGAGGAATAAAATGCTTGCAGCAAGGACGGGTTAGAATATCTTTATTTTCTCTGCTGGCTCAAGCCTGCACAAGTTCCATTAGATCCATGATTTCACCAGAGTTACCATGTGATCCACTCCACATGCCACAGCCACCACCTCCCCTGGTATCGTCACCTAGGAGGAAGAAAAAAAAAAGAGAACCAGTAAGTTCAGTACTGGGTACTGCTGCCAATGCTGTCTTAGTGAAGAGGTGTGCACTTATTCTGTAGTGTCATCATGAATCAGACCAATTACTTACACCATGAATTACCATAAAGTGGAGCAGATCCTTTTCAACTACACATTGTGTAAAAATATATACACATACTACCTGTTGGTTTTAAGTACCTGCCCCTGACTATAATCAGTAAGTGCCCCTCTTATGTTCTGGGACTTGGTGGTGAATAGGTTCCCTATTCACTTTTCCCATGCCCTTCACGCTTTTGCAGATCTCTATACCTTCTCCTGCTGAAAATGTCACAGTAGGAGGAACAGCAAGGACAGCAACTTGCAGGATACTGATCATGCAATGAAGAGCTCTTATGGCATAAATGCAGTCTTTAACAAATGCAACTACTTTGCTGTTCCTTAGGGGGCAAGAACAGGTGACCCTAATGGGAAAAAAGGACAGGAAGCGCAGCAGGAGGCTAGCCGGGCACAAAACTAGTTGAAGAGAGTTTGAACTCAAAAAAAGGAAGAGCTGACTGTCTTTTCCAAGTATGCCAGGTAAAGAAGAACAACAAGTAAAGAGAAGGCTTAAGTAAAAAGAGGTACTGAGGTCAGCTACCAATGGACAGCAAGGATAGGGAAGGCGATAAGTAGCCTAGTGTTCAGGGAATTCACTACTACCTTTGGATCATGGAAAGGTCAGGTGAGGTCTCTGATAAGGGTAAACAGACTGTCCACGCTTAAAGAAAGGAAGGAATGAGCTGGGAAGTTCCAGACCAGTCAGTCTGAGCTTGATACCTGGGACTGGAGCACAAGGCATCCTGAACTACTTCAAAACACTGAAGTGATATGCCTCTACCTTAGCAAGGCTCTTGCCAGCATCTCCATGGTCATCTAGATAGATGCATGACTGCTCTTACCGCTGGCTCAGTGCCCACATGAAGTAATTACCTCTTCCTGCCCTCATTACTGATTTGCAGGTTATTACATGCTATTCCCTGTGGCCAAGGAGCACTGGTCTCAAATTCCCAGAAGGGGACTACAGGGTGGTTAAGCATTGGAACAGGTTACCCAGGGGCTGTGGAATCTCCATCCGAGGAAGGCTGAGGGTAGACAAAACCCATCGCTCAGAGCAGGATGTTTGAACCAGGGCCCAGTTCAGCTGACCAGGTCTCACTGACACTTACCCTCCAGGGAAAATACTGGTCTTCCATTCTTCCAATTCCCAAGCACCCTCTAATATTCTTGCCCCAGACAAACAGCTCTCCTCTCTCTGTAACAAGAAAAACAAAGACAACCTCAGTAAGCAGTGCCAAGCTACAGCCTTGTAAATAAGGCTTTAGAGCCAACCTTTTTGCCTAAGCTTATCACAGCTATTTTCTCCTCGCCTCATTAGGGCCAACTGCATGTTCAGACTCTTACCATTAAGTGCCGCAAAGTGGCTAAGTCCACAGCAAAGGTGCTTAACACGAACATCTGACGAGCCAAAGAGAGTGGGAGGGATCATTTCTGGAGTTGCTGTTTCCAGAAGGTTTGGTCCTTTCCCAAGGATTCCGTATCCCCACACAAAGACATTTCCTTCCTCTGTATGACAAAATGCACAAAACATTTCCATCAGCTGCTGAGGCTTGAGGAGTTGTATTTCACCAGAGGCGATGGACTCAAATACATTTTTCCCTCCTAGGTTTTGCACACCCATTTGCAATATATGGGGCCTGTACACACTTCCACCTCACAGCACATTCACTTCCAGTGGGGGCATGTAACTGGAGGATTTCTTTAAACAGAGATACTCACCATTCAGAACAGCATTGCCGGTTCCTCCACACGCAGCCTCCTTTACCTTCCCAATCTTGAATGGTAAGTGCCTGGGGACATTCACCTTTTTTTAAGAAATCCATTATGGCTTGAGACACAGAGCTACTTTAAAAGGGGGTTGCTCAGGTTATAGTGCAAAAAAAGAACAAGATACACAACACTTTGAAAGAGCTTTGACTACTGTTTGTGACATCAGAAAGCCTGGCCCCCTGAGCTCTGAGGAATGATACAGATGCCACAACTTTTCGGTATGGGACCTAACTTACAGAGTGGCAGCAATTTGACAGTCTACCCTTTGCTCTCCCCATGAAGCTGAGATGTCTTTTAATAGTGGACAGCATGCATTTCAGCAATGAACAAAATAGATCAGGTGCTTCTCTGCCACAACATGTATGGTCAAGTCAGTACTTGGCACAAGGGGTGTACCGATAGAGATTTTCCACCAGGCATGTCAGCAAATACAGATCTGATATCAGATTTACAGGAATGCAGCCAGGCAGCATGGAGAGCAGTGCCCTGCAGGTGAGTCTGCGGAGGGGAAGGGCTGGGAGCAGGGAGAGGAGGGCACAGATCAAGGCACCCATGGTGAGGGAGGGAGTGGGACAGGGGCAGCGGTGAATGTGACCCCAGGGCCAGGGCAGCTCCTCTAGAGGATCAGTGTCCTGGTGCTTAAAAATGGCAGCAGGGGCACTTGAACTAGAGCTCGTCTAATGAGCCTTCACTCAAGTGCCACCACCACCATTTTTAAGCATGGGGATATGCTTTTAGAAGCAGAGCTGAGCAGGGCAGAGGAGGAGGCAGGCTGCCCACTGCAGGCTCTGGGCGCTCTACTTTGCTGCCTTTGTCCCACCACCACTGGGCAAGCCAGGGGCAAGCTGTTGGCACAGAGCTCCCAGAAAAAAGGCAACAGGGCGGAGAGCCCTGAGCCCACAGTGGGCAGCCTGCCTCCAGCATGCGCACAGGACCAGGTAGGCACACAGCAGCCATACACCCCCACCCACTCACCCCCCACACTGCCTAGATGAGCCACCCACAGCTCCATTCTACTCCCCACCCCTGAGTCCCATTCACTGCCCTGGCTGGACAGTGCCCCAAGCCCCTACCCCACTCCCTCCCTCACCGTGGGGGCCTTGATTTGCTCCCCTTCACACTCCTTCCCCTCTACAGACTTACCTGCAGGATGCTGTTCTCCACACTGCCCAGCTGTGCTCCTGGCTGTGTGCATGCTGTGGCAGCGCACATGCACGTGGCATATTTATTGGTACATTATCAGCTAACACCAGCCAAAAAAAAAAAAAAAAAAAAGCCAATAGCCGATAGTGTTAGTTTTCCCTTTATCAGTCCAATATGGACTTTTGCTTTCAGCTATTCTGAATCAACCTCAGGCTCCCTTACTACATCCATTCATTTCGGTGCTTCTTGCTGAATCGCTACACAGCTTGAAATAGTATTTTTATCTGAGTCCAAGCCTCTTTAAGTTTCATCTCCTTACTTTTCCCATTTGGGTCTCCAAAATGGAACACAGAAGTATTTAGCAGTATTAAGTCACCTAATGGGGTGGGCAATTAGCCAGCACTGTCATGAAGATTACACTGATGGTGGAAGATTTCTGCAATACATGAAATGCCTTGGTGCCTTACCTGCTTCCAAAAGGGACTGACATCTAAAGAAACGAACAGTTACTTAACCCAGAGGATAGGACGGAAGGGAACTTTTGCTAGAGACACAAGAGGCCAAATGAGATGCTCTATTGCTTGCCTGAGAAAAATCAGAACTGTATGGCAGATAGAGGGGTGGCCACAGCATCTGTAGAAGTGAGTTTGGGCTCATGAAGGCTTATGCCATTTATCTCTGATTTAGGTAGTCTATGAGGTGGCACATCTACCCTGCCTTCTGCCTGACTTCAGGCTAACACAGCTGATTGCCTCTCTCTGCTCATGAAATAATTGCCAGAATCTAACCCTCCCCACAAAAAAAAAAACAAACACAACACCTCACAAACATGTACAGCAACAGGTCTGTCCCAAGATCTCTTTGGAAGGACTTTCAGCACATGGCACCATAACCAGCAGCATGCCAGTCTGTTACTGTGAGGAAAATTATGCCATCCCATAGCTCAGTACTGCATCCACATACCCCAGGATGTAGCAGGGGGTGACTGGTGGACAGGTGTCCCTTTAGCCATATGCAATATAAAGAAAAGAAAATTCCTAAACAGACCTGCGTTGTCTCTATGACGCACGCTAGTTGCAGGTACTCCGAGTTTCCCCACCCGAAGAGGTCTCCTTCATCAGAAACAGCCAGACAGCAATCAGCGTAGGAGGCAACCTGGATGATGTTGACTCCAGCGACATCTCCACCTAGCTTGGTGGGAACACTGGAAACATCGTAGTGCCCTAGACCTGACAAAGAAACAGACAGTCTGGAATGATGTGCTGCCCTCCTGCAGATCAGAACAAAGCCAGAAACCACACTGGGCAATGCTGGCCTAACAGAAGTCACTCAAATCACACTTTCAAAGCTCTAACTAGAAGAAGTCCAAGCAGGCAAGACACCAGCTCTAATTGTGCATAGGTTAGGAAACCACTGGGCCTCATTACCAGGATCAGTTTGGTGCACTCCACCAGGAAACATCCTGGCAGAAAAAAAAAAGCATAGTTGAAGGTAGGAGCCTAGTGCCCTGTAGCGTTACCATAAGCAGTGCAAAAGCCCATCAGATGTCCTGCAGGAGTTACAGGTGCAAACTTGCTGGCTGTGGTGCCAATAAAGCCAATTAAAATAAGACTGGCAACCTTCACAGTCAGGGTGTCCAGACTGATCTTCCAAGGTCCCTTACAATCTATGAATCTGAACTGCTGTATCCATTTTACTTTGGCCAGGCTCAGGTCACCTCCAAAATTTCCATCTACTCTGCAAAAGTAGCAGCAATTTTTCAAGGTACTGAAGTTCACAGGGATGTCCATTATAGTATATCACATGTTTTGTTAGAACCATTGTGAACTATATTTCAAACTACTCCAGCACCCAGACTAAGGCTATTCCTAAAGCTGTGATTCTAGTCTCCAGGCAAATTAATGTTTTGTATGAGGTGTCTTTCAGCCAGTCCAGCAAGAACTGTACAGTACAGCCACACTGGAGGATGGGGAAGAAGCGGGGAAAGGGCAGGGTAAAACTTAGACCTTATTCGGCGCAGCTTTATGAGGAGGAACAAGCAACCGAACGGGCCTCAACCAAAACTCTGGCCTGAGGGCAGGATGAGTCATCAGGAATCAGCAAAGCCTTCAAGCAGACAGTGTAAAAGCAACAGGGGGCACTCACCCCACCCCCAGAGAACAGCAAAATCAACGTTTGGTGTTTACCACAAGATGCTTCTCAGTTCTATTCCCAGCACCCGTCCCATAATTGAGGCTTAAGAGATACATCTTCACTACGCAAGAACACACAGCTCAGAACGCTCTTCCTCCCAAGCATGCATTTTTCGATTCACAGACAGATTTCAACTTTTACTCGTTTGCTGCTTCCCAAGGTCCAGCACGTGTCATCATACGTCATGCCCCTCTGACCAAACTGACAACACTCCTCAGACTTGCGCCTCAGCTCATTGCATTTTCAGCTCCACTTCACAGGACATCGTACCTGTTTGTCCATCGGCTCCCCATCCACAGGAATAGATCTCTCCTTTCTCTGTCCTAAACAGACTGTGATCCTGACCACAAACAACCTGTGCAAGAGAAAACCTACACTGAATGGCATGCACAATTTGTACTTGTACACCCAGACTACAAAGAAAAACCCACGATGAAGCTCATTAAAATTATGTCTGAGACACCTCCAACCAATCATCCACTGGGTTGAGGGGGGAAAGGAAAGGAGAATACACCAGACCAAGAATTTATCTGCTTTGTGTTACCAATTTGCTTGTTACTGAGGTGAACACGGTCTGGGAACTAAGTATGGGCCTAAACATTTTTCTCATCTTTTAGTCAAAGTTGTTACCTGCACAACTCTTCCATCAAACTCTTGCAGTCGATTTATCACGTGGCTGTCACTATACACCATTAGGCAGGCATCGAAACAAAGACAAGAAAGGAAAAAATTGCAAGTTTAGCACCCACTGAATTTTAAGCACTTTCTTGTACACATTGTTACAGTGTTTAATCAGTTCTCCCCTGGCTGTGGGGCAGGCAGTTTCAAGTCTGACTAACTGATCTAGGAAGGTAGTAGAGACAAGGTTCATGAATTCAGGGTTTGACTGAATTCTCTCAAAGGCATCATCTGATCTACAGTGGCTTGCTGCTGTGGTCCTTCTTTGCCTTGTCTTTATTCCTAGTCCCCCATTCATCCCCTTCCTCCCTGGAGCCTACAAAGGACCGGTGTGCTGACACTACTCCCATTCTTAGAGACCAGGTATGCAAGACAAGGATGGTGGTCTCACTTGGGGCTGAACAGGTTCTGCTCTCACTTCCTCCCTCAAGGCAGTAGGCAGAAATTTCACCTCCCCCTCCCTCAAGGGCCAAATCTGGTACGCGCAAATGTTTGGCACCACAGGAGTCGTGGGCATCACAGAAACAGTGGCACAGCACTGGTTCACCCCACCAACCAGCTTCCTGTTATGGCCTCTCTTCCTTAGCATCACTCCCAGGGCCAGATTTGAACTCAAGAGCTACTTCAAGTTACATGACCCTTACCAATTTAGGATACCAATAAAATTCTAATTTACTATTTCTTGGACCTGTCACTCCTCATCAACTCCCTTTCAGTTCTACTTCTCCCCTGGATCCCACAATATTTACATGAGACATCCCATTCCATGTCATTAAGCTCTTTGTTATTCTCACCTATAAATTTCACCTTCAACTATTGCTCGACCACACTGCCCGTACGAGTTGTTTCCCATGCTGAAGACTGAAAATGAAACACACCTACAGTTACGGCAGCTCTCTGAAGCAGCATCAAGCGTTTTTTCCTCCCCTCTAGGGCCTGACTGAGGCCTACACAAAGCGTAATGTCCACACACACGTTTCTCAAGCAGTACCAGGTACGGCAGACTCCCACTTTCTTTGCCTGAACCTAGGTTAAACAGGGCAAAAGCATTTCTACTAAAAAGACCCACGCTCCTACACCCTAATCATCACACACCCTTGACATCATCACTTATTCCTCTCAAATTGCCTCTCTCATTCTCCCACTGCTTAGACTTGGCAGTAAGATCATTATTGCAATAAGAACTCTGCATCAAATGATTACCTCCACCAGTGATCAAGAACTAGTAAGATGCTAACTAGCACGCTGAAGGATTCCCTGCAGAGTAGAGCGCCCATTCAAGCAAGGAACCTTTTTTATCAAGGTTTATTTATTCATTACAAAGGCAATGTTTAGGGGCTTCCCAAGGAAGATACCTTGAAGGAATTGGCATAGCTGTTGAAACAAAATCAGCCAATGCCCTTGGTGAAACATGACCAATTTCTTACGCTTAGCACGCCCCAGGGCTAGACTTGCCAGCTTTATTTTCTACTGCTCACAATGCACACATATATACAGCTTCAGCCAAATGAACACATCGCACAAGGAATGGGGTTTCAAGCTTACAGTCCTGCCTCTGCTTCAGGAACTTTTCTGTACACTAATTTTATACCCTTTATCAGCTTTGGGTTTAGCTTCTAAAGAAGGAAAGAAAGCATACAAGCAGGCAAATCAACTGCCACCACCACAGGTCGTACCTCCTTCGTGGTCCGTCAGGATGAGGGAATGGGCTCTCCCACAGGAGACCTGCAACACTCGAGTCTCCTGGGGCTTCTCCAGTGGCAATGGAATAGGAGACGGCTCCAAGACATAGTGGTAGCTTTTTGCTTCAGGGAAAAATATAAAAGGCCAGCAAATAAACAAGTTAAGTGCTTCCGTAACAGCTACACGGGCATTTACGATCCAGAAAGCACGTGCACTTGCTCAAACAGACAGCCAATCTCGATCCCTCCCCACCTATCACGAGACTATCAAGATGACAGCAGCAGGGGGACCAGACACACACACACCCTTGGAAACAACAAGCAAGATGTATGGAGACAACAAGTTCCAGGCAGTCAATTTCAAGACAGTTGGAATTTAGCCTCCTTGTTTCTGCCAACTACTTAATCACAAGCTCACATCCTGCTTAACAAGCACTGAACAGTTTGGGTTAAGCATGCAGATAATGTGTTTGCTGAACAGGGTGAGTGTTTCTGGAGCATTAAAACTAGCACCGGGGGCAGAGGGACCCCGGTATCTTCTAAAAGCGAAACTCGTATTTGCTCTTGGAAAGGCCGCAGAAGTCTGAAAACGCAACCAGAAAATAACAGTCCGGAGGCAGCCAGAGCAGGAAAGCAGCTCCGCACCCGCGGTTCGCTCTGTGCAGCCCTCCAGGGCCGAGCTCCTTACTTCGGTCCTTCCGGCTCCTCTGGAAGCCGAGCTGCGAGTCCTTGTTCAGCCCCATGCCCCACACTTTGGTGATGTCAGCGGTTCTGGAGGAGAGCAAGGTGAAGCCATAGCCGCAGGCTGCTGACGAGATCTGTAATGAGTCCAACGCATGGCAGGGGGTGGGGATGACACTCCAGTTCAGTCCAGTCAGAGGCACGGTGCAGGCCCCTGCCCAGCGCACAGGGTCCGATCCAGGCCCTCCCTCCTCTCCCAGCGCCAGCGCCACTGTCCTGGCCCAGATCCCATGGCTCTCCTGCTCAGCCCGAGCCAAGGCCCCAGCCCTTCTCCGACATGAGACCCAGGGCCCGGGGCCACAGCCAGCCCCCCCCGCCCCTCTCCTCCCCCTACGCGCCTTGTCCGCAGTGAGGAGCCGGTAGGGCGTATTCTGCACGCGACGGGGCCTCTTCCAGGACGCTTTGGGCCGCACGAAGCTGGGCACGCCCAGGGCGCCCGCGTAGCAAAAGCCCCAGACGAAGACGCGCTCCGCGCGCCGCGCACGCTGCCCCACGTAGCGGAACACGGGCGTCGCCTCGTCCGCCTCCTGCAGCGCCCGGCGGCC